AGCGAGAGGTAACAAGCCGTCCCCAACGAATTCCTGAGTGGTGATGTTGGCCGCACACACTTCATCCAAATTGGGCAAGCTGGAGAGGACTGCTGCAACGTCGGAGTGTAGGTTGGCTGGAGTGAGAGCCGGCGGGGGCGCGATCCGACCTCGTGCCGCAGCGCAAGAGCGATGAACACCCCCGTTACACCGGCGACTCACTAATTTGGAGCACTCTCGACATGAGACTAGGTTGCGTCCCCTCAACCAATCTGGCGAAGGTCGTCCCGGCAATACCCCCAGCAGGTGGGAGTCGATATGCGCCCTCAACCCCTCAAAGCTGTCCCAGCCAATGTAGCCAGACGCTCTGCCCGCAACGCACCCCTCCACTGGGCACAAAAAGCGACCTCTCTCTGCGTCCGCCCCAGACCCCTGCATGTGTACGTCACCTGCGTCGTCGTCTTCAAGCCGGCGCCGTATTGTGCCACCCCTGATCCCATCCATTCGGGATCGGGGTTGACAATCAGCTGCAGCTTCGTTGAACACTAGACATCACACCATTGCACACTACTTTCCAGGGCTTGAGGACCCCAAGCTTGAGCCACTTGAGCCAACTACTTGAGCCAGAGACACATGGTCCGCGTCACGCGCCTGTGAGACCAGCTGGAACTGCTATCGTATCCGGAGCTGAGCTGGCAGCTGTACAGATCAGAGGCTGGCTTTGATCCCGCAGATGCTGGCCGCGAGCTTCGCTTAGCAGAGGAAGGCCTTCCCATGCCCATGATGGCCCATGAACGGACTCTGAGCTGCAGCTGACCAATGCCTGGACCGTGATGTCCGACTCGTCTCGCTTCCCGGAAACTCCTCTTGCAGTACAGTCGCTGTCTCGCTAATGCCCACCAGTGTTTGGTCTAAATATAACGTGCCTCTCATGCATAAAGAACAAGTGACAAGAATTGATTGAGGTCTCCTTGCCATCTCGTGCTGCAGCTGCACTCGCCACCATAGCCTCAGATTGAGCCACCAAGCTTTCTACCTACAGCTTCCTCCGACCGCCGATGCATGCGAGCAGCTCTACTTTTGGCATTCAGATTCAGCATCACCATGGCTTTCAAGGTGCTTCAGAAGTTTAGGAGCGTCTGTCTTTTTTCTACATCGGCATGGAAGCCAGGCACCAAAGCACAAATCCTGCCCCCGTACCCCATCTGAAACTGTGCCTTGGGGCATGTAACAGGAGCAGAGACACACGTACATTCAGGATCTGCGATGATCTGCGGTGGGCTAATCGAAGCCTCCAGAGTTTCATGGCGATTTACTGACGGTAGTCTTGAACATACGAACAACACCTCTTCCTCTGAGCTGGTTCTGCTCTTGCTGCCCGCTGTGCAGCAACCGATCCGCAGGCATGTACGAGCTGACGAACATTTGACCGCTAAGCAACCATTCCCCGGATGCTACCCAAGTGAGACTTGATTTTCGAAAGCTGGTGACATGGTGCTATGTACATTTGCAGGTGGGCCGCCACCATTTCATGCAGCCCACCTGCACGCACCGATTGTCGCAGAACTTCGATGAAACGAGGATTTGCAGTCCTTACGTGAGTGCATCTGCTTCATCGTCAGGGCACCTTCGGCAAAACGTGCATGGGGCAACTCACAGGTCCACGGCATGTGCTCTTGCTGATGGCATACCAGCCTCGGCATGCATCCTGCCTCACCGATTTCTTGCCAACTCATGCCCAAGTCCTGGCAGACCAGCAGAACATCTGCTCGCTCAGCATGAGCGGCCAAGCGCAGCACATCTGCGCATTAAGCACACCAAAACAGCCGCTGCTAGTACCGCTCTTGAAAGGTAGATCCAGTGCGCCCGGCCTTGAGAATTCTGTGAAGATGCGGTATGACCTGTCGCCGAGGAAAAAAAAAAACAGCATCCCCGAGCCCTGAGAAGATGGCGCCTCTGCCGCTGGAACATGGAGGCTGAACTCCAGCCAGACAAAGACCTTCCGTGAGGGTTTGGGCCAGTCTGTCCACAAGATGCAAACACATGCGGCAAGCAGCCGGGGGATTCGGAAACTTTGGGCACCAGGTGCCCCGAACTCCTCGGAGCCTTCCGACCGGCCTTTCCTAGCCTCCCGCCCTCGACAAAGCTTCGACAGGACTTCGGGAGGAGAGCTGTGAGAAAAGGGAGCTTTGCCAAGTCAACAGCTCAGCCCCAAGCCTTGAGCTCGGCTTCATGAAGATCTTCCCACTGCAAGCGATCCTCCCGAATTAATGGCGTCGCCAAAGCAAGGTGCAAAGTTTGCGGTGCCTTTCGATCCATTTTTCGGATCTCGGCAGCCAGCTTCCTGACAGAGATGGCTTTGTCGAGGCCTTCGCGCAATGGACGGAACTCCGATCGCCTGATTTTTTCACGATCACCTCGCTGGTGAAACCTGCAGCGGAATGACTTCAACTTGTCTCACCCGAACAGAAGAGGCTAACGCTAAGGGCAGCACTTGTAAGCAAGCACCAGGCATGCCCCTGCAAGGAGCTTTCGGCTGGCCTGCAATCGTGACCATGGTTTCCCGTTGCCCTTGCATGCTGTAGCATGTTGTAGCCCTCTAATTTTCCGAGATCCAAGGACAAAGCCTAGACAGTTCGCAGCCTTGGACCTGGGGCGCTGCACAGTGAAGCATTTGGCACGTCGCAGCATATGTCTCCAAACACTGAGTAATGCCGCAGCGGGCTCCTCTCAGAGGAAACTTAAAAACAATAACAAGCGCATGCGCCAACTAGCATTCATTTCTGAGTGTGAAGGCCTTTGCAGTACAGATCTCGCAAACGCGGCTAGGGCAGGCAAGTAGGCTTCTGCGGGTTCCTTGCGCAGTCGCGCGTAACGCCGCTACCGGAGTCTGTTCGGTCTTTGAGTCCTCAAGTCCTCGCGGAGCCGCTGGGCTTCTTGAGGAGTGACTTGCAGGCTTCACCCCATGCCGAGTCCGGTTCTGCCGTTGTTGTTTTTCAGCCCTTTCTTGGCAGCGGTCTCCAAAAGCAGCTCAATGCGGCGCCGGCAGGAAGATGGTGAGGAACGTGGCGTTTCCAATCCAAAAGCCTGCTGTGCGCCTCCACGAGTCATCAGGTTTATAAGCATGGGCGCGTTTCCGGTTCTGGGGCCAAGGGCGGACTTGCTTAAGGATTGTCTGTTTGCTGGCTCCGGACCGCGAGCTGAAACACGGAGCCGGCCCAGCATCAAATTGTCCGCTTTGGACCAAGAGGTTAGAACCAGCAAGCAGATGATGTTGCAGACATAGTAAACTGCAAATACCGCGGTCTTGAGCTCCATTGCCTGGAACAAAGACCATCAGAGGAACATCGTGTTGTGCCGCGTTGCACGAGTCTCGACTCTACCTTGCACATCTCATCTTTCGTATCAAGCTCAGCTTGCCGGGAGGTACGCTAATCCTGGGGGGGAAGATCGATGCTCCTGAGAAAGGACATGGTGTCAAGGTGCCGACCGTAGCCGCAATATTATGTGTTCATATACATATAATAATAATGACAATAACAATAATAATAACAGTAATCATCACGGTAATATTAACAATAAGAATAATAATGAGAGGAATAGTCATCCACATGATAATCGTAACAATAATAGTTAGCAAGATTGATAAGCGTACCAATTATACCTGCGTACCCTTGTCAAAACAGGGACCCGGTAGGCATGGAGGCTTCACGAGCCCATACAGGACTTCGATACGAGGTTCCTTCAACATCAGGATTGCATGCGCGAACCTCCAGGCAGGGCCGTAGGTTTGGTTCACTTTTGAGTTCCGGGTTAAAGTCGCATGGATCAGGCGCGCCGTTTCCCAAGTTCAGGACTTGCAAATTGTAGGTATCTAGCAGTTGGGGTGGTGCCTCCTCACGTAACCCTGCCGCAAGTGTCTAGGACAGCAGAATGCGTGGAAACAAGCACAGGCAGTGATCCGGTCGGAAGCGACAAAAGCCACCCATTGCGAAGGCCGTGCCGGATCGGGAAGCCCATGGCCTTGCGCACGCAATCTTTCAGCACGAGCTTCTCGAAGTAGACCCACCTGGACGAGATTGACTTTGTGTGGTTTGTCCATTTTGAAACAGCGTGATCTGTCTGGGCCCACGACGCCAAGGCCACAGAGCAAACATCCAATTCGGGCATCGTCTGTGTGATTTCGCGAAGATCCTGCAAGGCATCTGAACAGCCCAGACAAGGTTTCCAGACACGTGCCATGCGCAAATTCTGCCTTCTGCAGGTTGCGTAGCTTTGACAGAGTCAGCGACGGATGAATCTGAGGGTGGCCTCGGCTTGATATTCTGCTGCCATGTATTGCCATATCTAAACCTCTGCTCAAGATTTTTCCGGAGAAAATTCGGAGAGATTCTCGTCGTTTTGTGGGATCTCTCTTGGCATCGACGACTTTGCCGAGTAAAGTCTGCCAAGTGAAGTTGCGAATGAATCTAAGAAGTGGTCAGCTGAAGGGCTATCACACAAACGGTTTAGGGTTTAGGGTCATTCGGGAGTTGCGTCAGAGGTTGTGCGGATGTCGGAACAACACCTACTTCCAGACTAGCAAAAGCCGGTCTACCAATAAGGACGAAATTTTCTCGGTGTGCGCTTCTTGCCAAGCTGCTGCAACGGAATTGGTCGTTGAGCTCATCTTTCAGACGACGTGCTCGCACAAAGGGTACGATGGAGACCTCACCAAGGCAGAACTTTTACACAGCTCCAATACACCGCAGACCATGGTACGGACGTGGTATCCTTCAAGCCTGAGCACCGTGTGGTTCTTCCCTTGCCTGGGAGGAGGAATCTATACTACACGCACACGCATACGCACACAATGATGCCGATTCAATATTTGCAGTTCGGGCCTCAAGCTCTGATCATCAAGGAAGTCCGGGTCGTAGCTGCTGCCTGCATACTTCTCATCACGAAGACCTAATGAGTATGCGCAGTCAGTCCCTTCGATCAGCCTGTGCAAGGAACCAAGAACTGGGCATACCTAAGTGCAGCTGAGATTTTGGTTCATGCCAGTGCTCAAGCTGGCCACAAGCTCAGCCGTGCACGACGTGCCCTTCACTTGCACGACGTTCGCAGCACGTCGCGACCAAGGCAACAACCTGGACGGAAAATCTATCAACCTGGAGCTGACTCCAAGCCACCAAGCAAAACAGAATCTTTCCCGGCCCGGCACCTCTTGGAAGCAAGTGGTCTGTACAAAGGCCTGACAGCACTATACCGATGAAAAGTCATGTAAGGACGAACAAACGTTGGACATGCTTTCAATCCCAGGGTTGACAACAGAAGTCCTACGCAATACACACATGTCCACAAACACACATACGTCGATGGAGTCTGCTCCGTCTGGCCGTCGGTCGGGCGGTCTCAACCGTACAATCATGTGTAACAATATATGCACTCGGATAGATATAGAAACAAACGAACCCTCTCCCCCGGCCTGATCCCAACCAAAAGCATTGATCACACGGCCTACAGGTTGATGAATATGTTTGCATCTTGTCGAAATCAGGGGAGCTACAGTACAGTATCCTTGTTCTGGATGAACAAAACCTATCATCTGTCCATGGTGTACTTGAATATACTAGAATTTACTAGAACATACTACAACATAGGATGATGTACTAGAATACACCATAACATACCATTGTATACTGTAACAAACTATATCATACCATAGTATATTACAACATACTATGATACCGGAATACACTATAATATAACAGGGTACACTACAATATACCATGATGCACGGAAAGACGATTTAATACACCGTAGCATCCTTTGTTTGACTCGAAAAACATTGCCGAATCCACCGACAACAAACATTGCACCCGACGTTGCGGACCACAACAAAATCGCGCCATGCGAACAAGGAAAGGGCTGCCGACTACGCTTTAGGCTTAAGGTTTACGATTTCAGGTTTAAGGAAACCTTCATCCCCAGCATTGAAACTGTTGCTGCATTTTGTTATGTAACTGTGTTTTAAACACCGGGCATCGCAGCACTGTCCGTATACCCCAGCGACTGAATTTACGAGTATTGACAGAAGATCTTGCAGACATTGCCAGGAACTTTCAATAGCCAGCAAGCAAAGCTCGGTCAAAAAACAAGTTGCCAAAACCGAGCCCACATGACGTGAACACATCGTCATGTCATGCTGCTGCCATGGTTTGGTGAATACCTGAGACTTGGCAACACGACAGCATCCGGTAGTATATAAGGCCTACTGATATATGAGTCAAATCTTTTGTCCTACTTTTGGATTGCATAATCTTCACAGACGGCACTACCAAAATATACCTTTGAAGCTGCTGAACCTAAGACAACTTCGGTCGAAGAATAGCATCTGCAGGACAAAAAGGCCAAAACACCAGAGCAAGGACACAAGAAACATGGTGCGGGTAATTGCCTTAATCATCAGGACAACAGCGTATATGACACGGCAGAAGCTTGGGGGGGCTGGCTGCCAGCCCACACTCCGGTTTGTACCATTAAAGCCTCTGCGGGCTGCCAGCCCAGTACCAGTATAGCCACTGCAGGCTGCCAGACTGCACCCCTGTTTGTACCTTTAAAATATTTTAAAAACCGCTGCGGGCTGCCAGCCCTTACCGGTGCCAGCCCGTCATGCCGTCTTAATGCCAAGCACCTGCATAACTTGGGAATTAGATGGCATTGGCTGCTGTACCAACATAGCCACTGCGGGCTGCCAGCCCGCACCCCTGCTTGTCCCATTGAAGCTGCTGCAGGTTGCCAGCCCGTACCAGTATAACCACTGCGGGCTGCGTACCAGTATAATTACTGCGGGCTATTGCGGGCTGCCAGCCCGCACCCCTTTTTGTACAATTTAAGGCCGCTGCGGGCTGGCAGCCCGCACCAGGAAAGCCACTGCCAGCTACTGGTAGTATAGCCACTGCAGGGTGCCATCCCGCACCCGTGTGTTTGTACCAGCAAAGCCGCTGCGGGCTGCTAGCCTGTACCCGTATAGCCACTGCCGAGCATACCATTTGAAGCCGCTGTGGACTGTCAGCCTGCACCCCTGTTCGTACCATTAAAGCCGCAGTGGGCCAGCCCGTACTAGTGTCGTCATTGCGGGCTGCCAGCCCCCATCCGCTGTTTTTGACATTACAGCCACTACGGGCTGCCAGCCCGCACCCTTGTTGTTTGTTGTAAACCATTGAAAGCCACTGCGGGCTGCCAGCCTGTGCCAGTATACCCACTTTGGGTACCATTACAGCCGCTGGGGGCTGCCAGCCCGTACTTGACAGGGTGGGCTTGCTAGTATGTACGTACAGAACATATTCACAACATAGAGCGGTGAATCGGGCCAGTATAGCCACTGCGGCCTGCCAGCTCGCACCCTGTCTGTACCGTTATCGCTAGCAGGCCCGCATAATGGTATAAACAGCCGGGTGCGGGCTGGTGGCTGTACTGGTACAGGGCTGGCGGCCAGGAGCGGCTGTAATCGTACAAACATGCTGCCAGCCGACTGGATGCGGACGGGAGTCTGCAGTGGCTACAATGGTACAAACAGGGGTGCTGACTGGTGTGGTCAAAATGCGACAAGTCTCGCTTCTACAGCAGA